ATCCGGACACAAATCCAAGTGAAATCCAAATCTAAATTCAAATTCAAACTATCCCAAAGCTTCGGACTTGTTGCACCCGCAAAGCGTAAAGTGTTTATTGACTTCTCATATATTGTGTAATATTATTTCTAATGAAAGCATATAGCAAGCTTGTAAATTTGAGCAATGCTTTGTCGTCATTTTTTTCAACCGTTGAGTCCCTATAGTACGATATGTCACAAGGAAAGAAAAGAAGAAGAAAAAATCATCACTGCATCGGCTTCTGTATGGTTCTTTTTGTTTTTCATCGCCGCTACTAACAAAATTTCGTCGTTCGAGCTCATCTACCTTGATATCAGAAAAAAATGATGACAAAGCATTGCTCAAATAATAGTACAACCTTGCTATATGCTTTCATTAGAAATAATATTACACAATATATGAGAAGTCAATAAATACTTTACGCTTTGCGGGTGCAACAAGTCCGAAGCTTTGGGATAGTTTGAATTTGAATTTAGATTTGGATTTCACTTGGATTTGTGTCCGGATTCTCTACCTAATATTTGGATTGCATTTGGCTTTGGTCTCAAATGACAGAGACCACCTAGAATTTGGTAAGATACCATTAATAATACACTCTGTTTAGCCTATGAATCGAAATACGGAAATCTTTTACTGGTGCGTACATGGTAAAGAAATTGAAAAAACAGCTGTTCTTCGCAGTGCCCTTTACAATATCTGCAGTTATAAGTAAATGACAGAGAATTCATACGCTAAACAGAGTGTATTATTAATGGTATCTTACCAAATGCTAGGTGGTCTCTGCCATTTGGGAGCAAAGCCAAATGCAATCCAAATATTAGGTAGGGAATCCGGATATAAATCCAAGCCAAATCCAAATCTAAATTCAAGTTCAGACTATCCCATACCAAATCCCAAGGCTTGGGACTTGTTGTTCCAATTTAGCAGGCAACTCTTGTAGATATTAGTCTAGCATGTGTCGGTATTAAATCAGAAGCATAAGCTGGTATCTGCTTTTGCAATGAAGTATTCTCCTATTATCGTCGTCAATCTTCTACTATTAACGTAAGTTAAATATTTTACTGGAATTTCATCTTTACAATATACCAAACTATTTTTAGTGTAGCCAATTTCGTAGTAGCGTGAGTATTGTGGCTTTATTCAACGCTATAACTTTTTTTATTATTGAACGCTATAGTATAGTGAATAAACTAGACTATATCCAGATATTCGGAAGCAGTGTAGATCGAGTTTGATTGAGTTATGATTTTTATAAATTATCACTGACAATAGCTAAGCGTCGGACTTGTGTAGGTCTGCACATTATTTTAAACAATGAAGTTAATAGAGGAAATCATAGAACAACGATCTCTTATTTTATCATTCGAAAGGTCTGCCATCTGAAAATCTACTTTTTCGGAGACCTTTTCATGCAAAAAAAAGTGATTGGATTTCCTCTACAAAATGGTAAAACCCAACCTCATTTTCATTCTCTAATTACGTGAAAAACAACCTATGGTAGATAGTCCTAGTGAACGAGCGACATTTTGTTTCAGGAAACCTGGCAATGAAGTGACGCACGACAAGCTCTATCATCAAGCAATCGCAAGCAAAGTACCACCAATAAATCGTAAGAACATCTTATATTCCTTCTCTTAAGGCCGTGTAAAGTCGATATGAAGCTCACAGGTTACACGTAGAAGACTTAGTTCATCGGGAAGAAGCTTTGCAGTTATTTCAAAATATCGATAATAAATGTACTTTTTTCAGCCTGTGACAAGGGTCCCTGCGGTCAGAATGCATATTGCGACTTCAATGGGGTGTCGTATGAATGTCTTTGCGAAGATGGACATGATGGTGATCCCCACAATATTCGGATTGGATGTACACCAAACAGTGAGTAAGAACTGGCCGTATTGGGTGTCGAGTCTAACCAGTTTCAAAATTAGTCACCTATCTCAGACAGTATAGACAAAATTTATAAAGCGCTAATTTTTACCTTGCGAGAATTCGATGAGTCTATTCGGTATAAAAAAATAAATAGTTTTGTCAGTAGTGGTGACCTTTTTCTGGAGAGTTAAAAATCCTACATTATTGAGCCGTGATGTAATTCAGAGTGGAGAAAAAGATGTTATTGTCTGCTCATGAAAAATTCCTGGAGACACCACTACTTTGTGGATATGTATGTAACTAGACTCGCTTTTCTAGAATGTTCGACTCGCCCATGCGCGCAAAATGCTTATTGTATACCAAAAACGAATTCCTATGAATGTAAATGCGGTCAGAACAGCATCGGTGATCCTTACGTGAAAGGATGCAACATGACAGCTTGTTCAACTGCGCCGTGTGGAAAGAACGCGTTTTGTCTACTAAACCCGAATGATTCAACCAAATACACATGCCATTGTTGGGCATATTATGTGGGTGATCCTAGGAAGAAATGCAAGAGAACAAGTAAGACGTTTTTCGACCTGTCCAGCTAACTGTAATTTCGTAACGTTTTTTGGTGATTTTGTTTTATTTGCAGAAATTTTTCAAAAAGTCAGAACTCGAAAGTGAATGAGCCATTTTGTAGACAATTCAATTCTGTATCGACTGACTTGGCTTTGAAAAGTTTCAGCGAAAATGTCTTGGTTACGGAATTCAAAACACTGAGAGCTACTTTTTGCATATTTTTTTTATAAATATAGTAAAGCGGCTGTCATTGTTTTGAAGTTCCTACCCAAGAGATTTTCGCTAAAAACTTTTCAAAGCCAAGTCACTCGATACAGAATTGAATTGTCTACAAAATGGCTCATTCACTTTTGGGTTCTGACTTTCGGAAAAATTTCTGCAAATAAAATCAAATCAATCGGAATTACAGTTAGCTGGACAGGCTGTTTGGACATTTTGAACACCATCCTTTAACTCCAACTTGTATATACCAATGTCGAATATGGGTATTTTTTCGTCACAGGCTGCAGCAACAGACCCTGTGCTCGTAACGCATATTGTATACCCATAGCCAACACGAAAAAATTCACATGTCAATGTCAAGACAAGTTTTCTGGTAATGCATACATGAAGAGAGGCAGCACAGGTTGTTTTTATACAGGTATGATAGCCTTCTTTCTTGTTACTGGAACTGCAAACGATTTTTTATGGGTTAATTTAGCCAACGATATCTATCTAGGGCTTTTTGTTTAGGAAAATCATAGTACTAACTTGGAGACAATTGTGCAAGAAGATTGTTTTCAAACTTGTTTTCTCCGTCGATTTATTCACTTATATTTATTATTTATTCAATCACATATTTCATGGTTTCATCATCGTTGATTCATAGAAACAACCATTTTCTATTGGGTTTTCTGTTCTACATCCTTTTAAACACATACTCTACGTATAACAAATTTGATCTTTTAATCTTTTGTTCGTAAATGAAATCTTTGGCTAGAAATGATGTTTACTTGAATTTTAGTAATAAACGAAGAGCAGTGGTAAAAGGAAAGATGAAAATTAATCAGATGGAAAGCGTCTTCATCCCATAATTCACAAAAAACTTGTAATGTTCAAAGTTCGCAAAATCATCAGGCTTCTTCTATGTTGTTTCTGTGTATAATATGAAAATCCATCTAAAACCACTCATTTCATTTCAGAACGATACCTTTTACAGACAAACCAATAAAAGGAATGTGTTCTCTCAGATAATCAATAGAAAGTTTTACGGTAGCGTATCGTTGAGAAAATGTTAGTAAAATTGAACTATTTTACGTTAATTTATTTTGGTGAGAATTCTTTTCGACTTTTCGCTGATAATAACCCGTCGGTTAACAACGGAGACACAGGATTAAAAACTTCATTATCAGAGTAGACTAGTGAACTTCCATCAACTTTCGCCGCTTATCTATCACAGCAGCATCGATGAACAAGTGGACCCATTCAGGTGTTTCGAAAATTGGTTGGAAGAGTTCGGAAGACAAAACAAATCGGGTTCTTTCAGAAAATTTTTTGCACATGTTGCACATGTTCTTCTAGGTGTTTAAATATCGTGCCAGAAAAAGTATCCTATATGTAAAAATCAAAGATGGACAAGTCCCAGTCACGGCTAAGACTGATGATCTGTGAGACAAACATCCGACTGACACTGAGTGTTTGCGAACACGTGACTGATTTTTTACAAAAACATACAGAACAGAAAGAAAAAACCAAAATGCAGGAGCAACTTTCTCCGTTTTCTTTCCACCACACTGTAATACTTGACAGAAAAAAGTGAAACTCCCACGTGGACATGTGGTCGATTGTGACCGTCAGTTTCTCCTCTTCTTTTTGTGTGTTACATGTTTGTCTGTTGGTTGTTTATTCTGTTCCTCCTCTCACAATTGTATCGCTAAAGTGAAGCTAGAATGCCATCATTAATTTTAAATAAAAACGCATTTAAAAACTTTCTCGTTGACTTGCAAAACAATCATAACAATGATTCACGGAATACTATATGTACAATCTGTCAAGATGATCCAACTGTTACCAGTTTTTGGTAAAAGAAATGTGTATTCAAATTCGAAACGTCATGCTTGAAAAGATCAACAAATGTGATAGAGACAAGTGTGGCTAAGACTGATGGCTTCGGTGACTGAGACTTGACTAAGATTGAAAAGCTTGCGACCTGTGCATTTCTGGTAAAAGTATTTAAGTCTTATTGAGTTGTGTTGTGGACACAAAATATTTGTGCGACGAAGCTTCGCAAAAGTGAGGGAGATATGGGTAAGGATGGAGGTAGGTCCTGATTCACCCTTCAGTTGGGACTTAAGCATTCTAGCACAGTTAGTACTGCTATGTGCATTACATCACGAGAATGAACTCATTCGAAAGGAATGATTAACAACATAAATCGAAAAGTTTCTGGAGAACACCTCCTCCTTAACCCTTTATTGCTGGAAGAAAAAATTACCTGAGATATTGGAAAAACCCTGTTGCATTTTCTTCCTCGTATAAACTTTAGTATTTGACTCGATTTTCGTTATCCTATACGCAAGCACTAAACGGATATTCGATATAAGAGACTGTCTCGCAAGCAGATCTCTAAAATCTGAATGGACAGTTCGATTCAGAATAATTTTCTCTTACTACACTGAAATTTCAGCTCCGATCTTGGAAATTTATTTATAGATCGATTTAGACCCTATTTGGTACTTGGGTTCCGCAAGCAAAAGTATGTAGGTATCTTTCAAGTCTTTTTTTAGGTACTCCTCTTAGCATCAGCCCAGTATGAAAGTACCTAACAAGTACTCAGGCGCTGAGCGACTATATCCGTTCAAATACGATGAAATACGACAGCAAGATTGTTTATTGCTAGTTCAGGACCAAGACATATAGCCGCAAATCCTTGACTTCTACATTAGTTTTTTTCTATTATTTAACTCTCAGCATCAGTTTTGACTATTTTCGTTGATAATCAAAGCATTATGACTTTGTTATTGATTTTTCTCTTTAATGGCTTAATGAGGCATTCACTATGACTAATTATCTTGGCAACACGATCATTTAATGACTGATTTCGTGTGTATTATTACTAATGAGTTACGCATCAGAAAAGCATTCTCAACGATAATATCCGTCGAACTAAAATTTGCGAGCCAAATAATAATATTTTTGCCCATGTGACTTTTTGAGTGCCTGAAAACTACTCATAAAATATCATTTTTTTGGCATTTTAGTTCGTTCCTTCGATTCTCAAATACTGTAATTAATGATCGTGGAATCCATCATTTCAAACCTATCTATTGGTTGTCATAGTCATTTTCGGGTTCTTCATAGCCAATTATCTATTTCGAATCAATTTCTTCAACTGGAAATAAAGTTTCCGGCAAAGTGAATGCTTGGAACAGATTATTTTTTAGTTAAAATCTCTCGAATCAAAAGCTTAGAGTTCATGTATGTTCTGGTAAAATTTGGTTTATGTCGAAACGTTTTTCGTGACTTACAGCAATTTTGTTAAATAGTGTCATTTCTATATCTATGACTTTATTGAGGATTTAAAAGTTTTTGAAAGAAAAAAAACAAAACTTAAAAATTAATTCCTGCCACTTTGTAGAAAAAGCTGGTCAGTACTGCTTCCGTGAAGCACAAGTGTTAAAACTTCCAAGTGAACTTCGTACACCTATTAAACAGTTTTATAGTTGTAAACGCATTTTCCAGATGTTGTAAACAAAGTGGGATTTTAAACTGCCTCAACTCGATGCAAAACTTTGTACTTCAAACTTTCATTTCCTTCGAAAATCGGACATGTACTTGGAAGATTTTATAGAAAAAATTTGCTGCATATGATGGTGAAAATCACTTTCAAAAACCTTCAAGTTTTTGAGATACAGTCGTTTTACCAAATCTAACGTAATGACGCATCTCAATCAAAAAAACATTTCTTCTGTACCCACTTAGACCTGTTGAGTAGGCATGCACTAGTTATATAACTGGTGTTAGGGCATCCAGGAAAATTGTTATAACGCGATTATAAAGGATCGCCCAGACTTGCCGAACATCCCATTTTGTAGACAAATGCTTGTTCTATGTAATTGTTGAAACAAAATAAGTTAAAATTAATTGTGACAAAAATATGAGCAATTCTTAAATGCCGTAACTGTACGTGATAACTGGTCACCAGTTACATAACTGTTCAGCCCCTTCGGTAATTCATTAATAACGCTTCTCGTTTCCAACCTTTAATTTTATCTTTCATACAAATGTATAGAACAAACATTTGTTTACAAAATGAGACGTTCTGCAAGTCTGAGCGATTATAAATAACCGCATTATAACAATTTTTCTTGATACCCCAAAAAACAGTCAGAAATATATTTTTAGAAACCGAAGGGGAAAGTACGGAATCCTGGAATCCCACTGATCTCATGGAATCTCTCAGAATCCAATG